CAACCATGGTTTTGAATGAAGACATTGCAACAGTGTGCACTAAAGGAACAGGACACGAATTTGCCGACACCAAAGGCACCCAAACGCCGCCTCCTAGTGCAATGGTCAGAGTGGAAAATTTGAGCAGGATGGAAACAAATTGCATCTATGAGGAGTGGGACTGCCTGACTCCGCTTGTGAATAATTGAATTCGTGTTCCGCATCAAGCCTAAAGCGGAATTTCGGAATGGTCAAATTCCGCTTGGATGTTATCATCTAACATTGGTAATTTAAACAAATGGAAACGGTGGTTCATTGCACGGACGCAAACCTGCGTCGCCGTGCGCACTGCTCCACGACGCTATCCTCCCGTCTTCCATCCGCCCGTCCTTGTCTTTCAGTGCAAGCTATTCACGCCGATGTCCGGGCTAGACGCAGCCACAGCCAACGAGACCCCAATCCCAATGTTGGCCACCCCAATCACATGTTGCGGGAGGCAATCATGAGTGCTAAGCCTTATTGCAACAGCGTGTTTGCTGCCACGCGAGGCAAGGCAGCATGTGTACCCAGGCTCCCCATTAATCCACCTGATTACTGGTGCCGCAGATGTCGATAGTGTTGATGGCGGCACGGATCTCACGTGACGCTCGCACGCAAATTGGTGTGGAACTAGTGCTGAGCGGTTCTTGCGCGCGCAACACATTTACTCAACGATTCTGAGTAAGTCAGGTTGACAAATGCGAACGATGCGCGACAGGGTGTCACTGTGCTGCCGCCGATGTGTCGCAAGGCTGCATCCTTGCTCGAGAGTGGAGAACTCCATCCTGTTCCGGCCTGCTTTGGGACCTGCACGGGCCGCCAATAAATGGGACACATCAAAAAATATTAACCTCATAATATCACCCATCTGGCGACCCGTGAGATCCAGAAATGACGCAGAGGGGATGTCGACCACCTCAGCCCCTTCGTCACGCTGAATACCATCCCGCAGGTTGGCTTTAAATGAGGCAGAAGCCCCAAAACATCAATCAGAGGTGCTCCAGAATTTTCTGGGAACCCGAGCCCAAGGCAGTCAGTGTGCAAGGGGACGACTTCCGTGGCAAAGAGAGAACATGGCAGCCTCACTGTATGCCCAAAGGACCCCAAGCAGTGCAGTTGTGATGCTGGACGCAGCTCCAGCACATGGCAGCGAGCGTCACGGGCACACCGGTGTCAGACCCGTTCCGAAAACACCGTGAAGTACTGAGAAACACCCAGGTCGCCGTTGGGCACGTGCGATTGCTTTGGCAAGGAGTACAGCCGTTCGTGGCCGGGCGCATTGACGTAGAAAGGCTTGGCTAGATGGGCTGCGTCGGTTTTTTGATCGAGCCAGGACGGCCGTGGCTGGCCATGGTGCTGCCGGTGGGGGATGGAAGACACACGGCCGAATCGCCGATTGAGACCGATCGAGGTCGAAGTTGCTGGGAGGTTCTCTGGCGAACGATCAGGCCTTTCAACCTGCATGGTCGGTTGTGTGGCGGAGCGCCGTGAGTTTCAGCGAGCGCGGGCGCCGTGGATGCGCGGAACGGGAGGTCGCAGGTTGGCTGATGCGAGAGGCGTGCAATGTATCGCAGCTGGATTTGTCATCCTGGCATGGCGCTGGAGAGTTCTGGCGTCCTGTGGCATGCCAGATGCTCAGAAGTGTGCCCCTAGCTCAGAGCAAGATGGTTTGTCACGGAAGGCTGGGCGCCATCAGCCAGAAAATTGGAGCTGTGAAAGTTGATCGAATCTGGACTTGAAAAGATAAATCGGTTGCATGTCAGGCTTGCAACATGCTGTTGCCATCCCAAGTTATGTAGAGTTGTTTCAAACAAATCGTTTGCAATAGAATTCACCTCAAACGGATCCTTAGTGAACAAGATATGGTATTTTATGTGCGACGGTGCCGTTTAGGATTGAGGGGGGTTGCCCCCTGTGCGACCTGCCATAGGGCGCGGTGAGGCGTGGTCAGGAGGGGCGCGTGGAGGCGCCACGTAGTTGCTTGATGGGCATATGGCCCGTGGGGCACTATGTGGCCGGGAAATGGGGCGCATCGGTGTGAATTGTGGTGACACGGCAGTGTGGCGGAAAGATTCTGCGGAATCAAAAGATGCTGTTTCATATGGGGGGGCATCTCAAACTCGGGGAAGGTTGCAAGTACTAAGGGCGCGGACAGCGCCGTGGGCACTCTTCATTAATGGAACAATATTGTTGCACCCGGCATGCCGCATGGCAGCTGTAACAACGGTTGCGTGGGGTTCGTATGTGTCTCACGCAGCGGTCTAGGCCCCCGGCCTGGCTGCCTGACCCCCTGGCCGTGCGCCCAACGTTCGCCACGGCCTAAGCGCAACAGCGCTCGAACTTTTCTAAGGTCGCGGCCAGTCCGGGCTGTGCTTTCAAGACGCTTCCTTGCCGTTCGAGACCAGCACTTCCAGTGTGGTCTAGTTGCCGACCAGAACTGCCGAGTCTCCTCTTTGCACAGCCTTGTCGAGGCGGAGAGAAGCGTTTCCCGTGTCATACACCGACGTGCTGTGGACAAGGCAGCCCTGACCCGTGGACCTGACTTCCGTTTGGACTTTGTCGACCGTTGAGGAGCAGTTGAGACCGGTTTAGGGGCTCTGAGCGCCAGCTGTGAGAATTTGCACAAGCGTATTTGCATGGCTGATTGGCAGTGGGACGTTTGCTACCCGTTTGAATCTTCCCCTTGCCGTCGCCGCTGTTTTGGTTAGTCGTCGTCGGCGCAACAAGCAGTTCTTCGTGAAGAGCCAGTTCGTGAGAGGGGGCGGAAATTTGGTCGTTCAATGAGCCCTCCACTGACGTGGTGCTGAGGCTGTCGACGTGGCTCAGCTGCTGAAGCAGTAGTTCGAGGCCTGCGTCATCTGAAGAGGAAGATCCCGTGACGACCGAGCGATGTCTCCGAAGAACAGCTAATGGAATAGATGATAGGGGAATTGCCCAGGGGCGTGGGGCATAGATACGGCAATAGGGTGTTCATCTGAGTGAGTGGCAGTGTGGTTGATGCTGGCGGATTGATTGGCACGTTCGGGGATTGAATTCTGAGATGGACAGGCGACTTGAGAACAGTTGGGACGATGTCTGTACGATGTACTTGTAATTGAGTATATATGCGAGGCAGCAAAAGGCAATCTGCGCCTTTTCACTCCGCTCTGACATTCACAACACCGTCTCGCCAACTGAATGCCCGCATCTGCGTGAGGGCTTTGCCCTTCGAAGTGGACCTTCAATTACCGGAACAGCTGCCCGTTTGAGAGTAGTTTTTCTGCGCCATCTCTGGGGGGTAATGGCCAGAACGGACCGCCACCCTTTGCAGCACCCAATTTTCAACCCTCCATGGTCGCCGAAGCACTGGCTGTTTGTATTCCTTCAAGATTTCGTCACCTTCCACATAGAATTTCAAAGAGCTCTGTTGTCGTCGTCCAAAGCCGTCTCATTTGTCTTGAAATTCGCAATACTCAAGGGGCGCACGGCTCTCAAATCATCGACAGAATCGCCAAATGGGATCGTAAGGTGCAATCACCTGGATTCGCCGATACCATATGCACTTCCGCTGGAGGCGCATATGGGATGGTATCCCATGTGCGTCTGCAGCAGGACCAGGGGACAAATATCCACACACAAAAGGTTCAGCTGAATACAATTCTGTGGTAAATGTTGTGCCGCACAATCAGGTGATGCTGTCGTTGGAGAGGAGTGGCTCAACTTACCACACGAACTTTGCCGTTTGATAGCATGGAAAGTGTAAGGGTAAGGCCAAAATATTGCATTGTTGTCACAAATCTGACATAAGCTGTCAAGACGATCAAGCACTGCTGATCAGCAGCAACCAAGTCATGACTTGTTCAAAACCTCCCTGAAGCGTTCAATCTTCAAGAAAGGGCCCCAAATGTCTCAAACGACAGCCCCATCGCCTGCAATCGCTTTCAGCATCCACTATCCCACCTTCTGCAAGCACTGCGGCGATGGCAGTTTGCCTTCCTTGAGGACACCTTGATGTTGCTCTTCACTGCTAGGTAATATTGCTGGGTCATCCTGACATCGACGCAACGATTGTAGCTATGAGGAGGCCTGGGATTAGTGCCGAATTACGGTAAACTTTCCAAAATCGCCACACTGTGACCCCTTGATACACATAACCACGTCACAATTGCGTCACCACCAACACGGTCGCAGCTTTGCCTGCTGCTTTGCTCGCAGCTGCCACAATTGAAAGTACCTCAAGCACGGCACAGCTCCCCCTTTTCTGATGCAAAGCTATCCGACTGCGATATGCGCCTAAGCAGTCTGAACTTGTTCCAAATCGTGCACCACCGCCGGGTGGCACATGAAAAAGAAATCAAATGTGAAGTTCCTGCTGTGCGTTGGGGAGCCACTCCTGCTTATGGCTACCAGATCTAGCCTGAGAATCTGCAAGCTCAACTTCGTGAGCAGGGAATAGCCCTGGTTTCGGATGTGAATGTATGACACATACAGTGGCCTTCCTGGACCAATGAGCGATGAACGTGGTGCAAAAGTTCAATAACAACAACACTAGCAATGACAAGCTGCGCTTTGCATCTTATGAATGACATTCGGGTGTGCAGGCGCATCCGCCCTCCTATTGAGAGCTACATGGCCCGATTTGTTAACCCATTCATCGCCTTAGTTGTGCATTCTTTGCTGTAGATCATAGACCACGTGCACAAGTGAATGTGCCACATCCTGTGCGGCCCAAACAATGCAGCCCTTCTCAGCGTGCATGTGCTTGTTGCCCGCGATTGGTACAGTGTATCAACCCCTATTACCAGCGTTGCAACTTCACACCACTTTCACAAAACACCTACTTTTTCTACAAGCCGCTAAATCACCATTGCCTCTCTCCCAATCAAAAGAACTGTTGGTCCCACAGTCAGTCTTAGATCCTGTGCTTCAGTACCTGGCCTGTATCATGAGAAAACAGCATGAACTGAGAAAACCACAACCACAAGATACGCATGCCTGTATCGTTATCCCCTGGATCCCCTTCCCCTCTTGGAGCCTCTGGATGTTTGGGAGGCGGCTGAGGCTCCTGAGCCCCTCCCTCGACTGGAGCCCCGGCCAGAGCCCCTGCCTGAGCCCCTGCCCCTGCCAGAGCCCTGCCCCTTTTTCTTCTGCTCTGCCGGTTCGAAAGATATTCCCTTCCGAGTCATGGACTTTTGCAGCTTCTGCTTGTCTATGTTGGAGCCCTCTTCCTCCTCTTCTTCCGCTCTGGTTTCCTGTCGGGACAGCAGCTAATGTGAAGAATGCACACGAACACATGCTGTATCGTTGTTGTGCACATATTTAAAGACACTGGCAGTGCCAACAGCAGCAGAAGCTCTGGAAAGTGGGGTGGCAGTACACATGACGCACTTTCCCCTGATGTACGATCAAAGAAAGAAACCATGACACATTCACATGCCTGCATTTATCTCCCCTCAGCCCTCCTAGCCTTTCTGCGAACTCAAAAGGGTAGCACTTACTTCGAATCCACAGCTGATCAATGCTAACTGTTCCGATGTCTGCAGCAAATGGACAGTCCAATGGCCAGCCTCAAACTTCCAACGGAATTTGGGTTTATGCTGAATCCTTGCATACCACAGGGACCCCACTCTTGAGCATTTAAAGCTGCCAGAGACTCCTGGGCATCACTGGTGGGTCAAGGAACGCCTGGGTGCAGGAAAAGCACTGCAGCACTTTGTTGCAAAGCAGATGCTTCTCAAGGCCCCTGCCTTCTATGCCCCATGGAGCAGCCAGTCCCCACAGAGAGCGAACCCAAAACAGAACGGCAGATGAAAACTTGCTTGAAATTATAGCTGTAAGTACAGGTTGTGGTCGCATTGCACACATGGAACAGTGCGGCCACACGACTTCCGGCAATCAAACAGGTGGGACATTGTGTGAACAGGATGCTGTGGCCCAGGGCACAGCGCTGCTATAGAACAAAGATTGAGGAATATTGACACTAGAAACGTCAACAGGGTTTTCCTGCAGATTCCTCTTATAGTGCATATCAGAGAGCAAATGATTCTAACAGTGGCTCTTCCCAACATTGTGCACTGGTTGCTTGAAATCGAAGTACATCACACAAATGGAACCTGCACGCTATCACTGGAGTTGCATCTAATTGTGCAGGAGTGAATCATTGCCTTCAAGCTTCAAGGCTCCCATCTCACCCTGGAAAGGCCAAAAGTAATTACAAACGGCTTCATAGGGAAATTCTTGGCAAAGTTGTCTTATTTTTAAAACATAACAGTTTGCTGCATTGCCAAGCATGCGTCAGTGCCCACCTCTAGCACAGCATCAGGATCGCCCTCATCAAGCAGCGACTCACTGGCAGCAGCAGCAGACCTTGCAGCACCGCGGCCTGTTGTCCGCTTTCCATCTTCCACCATGAGGTTGCAGCGAGCCTTTGCTCCAGACTTGTTCAGCCGCCTGAGCACAGATGCACCAGCAGTTCTGAGCTGTCCACAAATGTGCCATACCACTTGACAAGAAACGAAACAAAATGATTACACAGGATCACTCGTGCATTGATCGGGAAAATGTTGCATTCAGTAGGTAACGGGAGTCAAGCAGAGGCCATTGACCCCCAAAGCAGTAGGCACTTGCAACATCCTAAAATAAGACCTCTGTGGGTAGTGTGGAGTGCAGCCTTGGTGCCTGACACCAGTACCGGGCCAGTAGTATGGACAATGGATAATGTACCAACACGCACTGACTGAATTCCATGTTGAACAGACGTAACAGGCTAGGAATAGCAACGCAGTGCTGCGTTCAAAATGATCTGTTTTCTCGTGCAGGGTGAAGTACGTTTCAGCGATTTGCAATACCATGTTGAGCATGCATAGAATGATTTGCCTACTGCCCTTCATCGTCTGTCAGTACCTAGTAGGAATGATATTGTTGACACAACGAATCAGAGAATAGCATAACTGAGCATGCCCCACTGGCACATGAAATACATTTGCAGCAACCTGATAATTCGATGCATAGCATGCTGCCTGCTACTGACTGGCTGGACAGCCAATCGACTAGCCGGCAGGCTGAATGACTGCCCCTCCACACGCATATGCTGCTTTGAACTATAGTGCACCTTGTGAAGGAAGACTTGACTTTGGTTGCCACATCCTTGAACTTGTCCTTTCCCCAATCAGACTTTGTCTTAAACTTTGTGACATCCTGGATGTAATCGAACTCTGGCCTGCACCACACAATTGCAATAAAAAGTTGTCTTCGCTCCAGATTTCATTGTGCTCTGACCATCGAACACATTCCTCCATCGCCCCCATCCACAACAGAACAAATCTGCTTCAGCAGCTGATGAGAACTAGCCTGTGATCATGGAGGGAAACCCAGCAGATACTAGGTGCATGTTGCTGTGCCTGTCACTGCCCTTCAGTTGCCAAGGATGTGCATTCTGTCAGGAAACAACAGCCAAATCAACTGTCCACCATGAGCGCTCTTTCGCGCATGCATATGTATCGGCACAAGAGGAACTGGGAACAGAAACTTAAAGCATGCTGTGTCATGATGTCCATGTTGACATAAGAACCTGATGCAACATGAGGCAACCACCAACCAGCCACCTACTTTGACAGACAGTAGTCCTGCATGGTGGCTGCCACTCGCTCTATGGCTTCCTCTCCCTCTTTGCACAGAGGACTGGTGAGCACTTGCCGCAGGGTAGGCATGTAACTCAACCGGACAGACCCTGCATTCAGGGAGTGCCCCATGCCTGCCATCATCCGGGTCGTGCTCTCTCCAAGGAGCCGCCGCTGCTTGCCCTAGGTTCCGCAGGTGTGAGCAGGTCAGACACAGGTCAGACATAGGCTGAAGCGTGCATCAGGTTTCGGTCAGACAAGGGCCAGGTGGGTTGAACATGCATCAGGAATGCATCGACAATGCATCAGCCTGTAAGTCAAGCAGATATGCATCAAGTTTGTATTAGACATGTATCAAACATGCCTGTTGCATGCATCACATGAGCAAGCACGCATCAGGTAAGGGTATACGGTTTGTCATGCAAGCCTGAACAGTGCATCAGACTTGCATTAGGTCCAATTAAACCATGGGCCAAGCCTGCAACCAAATGTCAGGAATAAACCAGACATATGTCAGACATGCAGTGCACATGTAGAAGGTCGAATTATGCAAAAGATATGGGTCATGGATGCCTCAAGCCTGCAACAGGCAAAGCATCACAAGTAGGTCAAGGATGCACCAGACATGCAGTACACATTCGTTGTGCATGCAACAAACATGGACCAAGAAACTGCCACTCGCTGCACCTGTGTCGAATTGCTCCCCAGCCACGCTGTGAATCGAGGAAAGTTCATCTCATTTGGATGCAAACCAAAGACTTCTCTGTTTCCTCTCATGCACATGGACGGCGCCACCGATCCAATAAAGGCACTGAAGGGCATGAGGGACCAGTTCTGCTCTGAACGCACACTCGCGTTCACCATGTCCCCATCGGATATTAGCTCAGCAGCCTTGGCCAGGGCGCGCATGCGCTGAGCCTCATTTTGGGCAACCCTTGGGCGGTGGTTCACGTAATTCTCCTGAGACATGACAAGGCTGCTGACAATTGTGTTTGCAGCAGGAAAAAAGCGGCTCATAGCATGCACTAAATTCCCCTGGGTGACGAATTCTGCTCCCTTGGCAGATGATGGTGCAAGGGACTCCAAATGTAAAGGGCATGGCACCGCAAGAAACCATGGACAACAAGAAGACCTTCAGAGATAAAGCTGCATCAATCAGACTGTCTCTTCAAGCAAATATTCAGAAATGCTGACCAACTACAACACACCATCAAATTTGTCGCTGTCTTCATGGTCCACAGGGGGCAACACATGTTGGCCAACATCAGCATGCATTGATCCTCAGCGCACAACTCCTTTGCCATGTGGTTGCACAGTTTGTGCTTACCCCATTCATCTCTCTTGTGTTGGTTGAAAATGCTTAGACTATTTTGATGCAACATGGCTGGGGTCAGCGGATTCAATGGAGCTGCAACCAAAGGTGGCCATGGCAAAACATCACAAACCAAACTACAACATCCATCTGTGCTATGTTGCCAAGGGTGCCAAAATGGCGTCCCTTACAAAATATGGTGTCTGCTTGCCTCCTTTCTTTTTATTACCCTTCAGATACATACTCCTGTGCAGATGATCCTCAGAACACAGGAACTCAAGACCAAATCAATTGCTGAACTCTTAACTCTTCCAATTGTAATTAAAAAACCTGTTGACATACAAGCATGTTCACTTCATGCACGAGATGTATGCACAGTACATAGAGTGTGAGCAGCTAGCTACACTGCTATTTAACTAACATTGCACACCGATGCACTTTCTGACAGGGCTCTTGCTGGCTCTTCAGTTACCCACACACACCTGCACCAGCAGCGGCACAAGGTCCAAGTCCTGGAACACCAACTCCATCTGATCCGCCAAACTCAATGTCCCCGGCCCATCCAGCAATTTCCTTGCCACTTCAAAAGGGCTGACGTCGGAGTCCTTGGAGCTGCCAGCGCCGCTCTTCCTGGCCTCGTCAAATGTCACAAACGACTGCCCCCGCGCAAGCATTTGCAAGGTGCCCAGCACAAGCCGCACATCGCCGTTTGCCCGCTCGATGACCGCCTCGAGGGCCGCATCGTTTGCAAAGCTCAGGCCCTCTTGCTGGATGATGTCCTTCATGCGTTTGGCGATCTGCTGCGTTGTCGGCTTCCTGGAGGTATGCAGAGGGTAGTTTGATGAGCAAGAGTTGGGGGCCAACTGACTGAACCACAGGGCAAATTCCTGGGCAAGCAATGCAGGCTAATGCCAGCATGCATTGAATATCACAGGGACAGACCGCAGGAAGTCATCTGAGCTGCATACGATTTCGAGTTCATTGTACAGCAATTAACAAATACAGAATCGACTCAAGTGAAGCAAACTCAAATGCTGGCCGTAGCACCCAAGAACTCACCTGCATTCTAATTCAAGGCAGTGATTGCGCAGTGACCTCAACTTCTGGTTGTATTTGTCATTGCAAATACAGATGATGGGAATCCTGGTTTTGTGAATGGTCTGAATCAGGTCAGCAACTCCACCACGATCACCAGCTGCACAGTGGAAAACACAGCATCAGCCCTACATTCCATGCAGCACACATATCAAACCAACCGTCTCATCCAGTCCTATCCGATCTGATGGCAGGCTGACAAGCCTTGCCAGCCTCCCAGTTGCTTTTAGAGACTTCCACATTACCTATGCACTGTATGATAGTTCCAGGGTGGACTGTCTGCTCTTTGACATTGTCCCCAATGTTTCAACAACTTTGGCAGATGACAGAGGCAACTGCGACTGGGCAATAGAAGAAAAACTGCCCAGCCATGGTGGCAATCTGCCAATCTTCAAATATTTGAAGTTGGCAGGATGCAAAAGGCAATTTACAAACTCTATGGCAATCTTCATATTCATCAGACCCTGTTTGGGGCTTCACCTGGCCTCGCACATTCCTGCAAGATAGTGATAGGCCAGCATCTCTCATCTCTTGATGGGCCCAGTGTCAGAAGCCTTCACAAATATTAAAACAAGCGATTTCCAATATACAGAACAACAACAAACAAATAGCATCCTTTGCAGGGGTGTTCCTGACTCACCTGACATCCCATCAACCTCATCCATGATGAGAACCTCTCGCTGCAGGCGGCCATTCGCTCCTATGGTCGTGTTTGTTGCAACTTCTTTAATTACATTGGACAGCTTCCCTGCAGCCCCCTTCTTGATGTCTCGGTCAGCCTTGTTGCGAGTGTCGCTGGCATTCACCTCGATGGGATTGTAGCCCATCTCCCTAGGAAAGCGGGCTCATGTACATCAAGATTAAGGGCATGAGGTAACAATTAAATAAAGTTCGTGGTTGCGTTTTGTGCAGAAGAAGCATTGTGGGTTTCACATGCAAATTGGGATGTCATGACAGCAAGGAATGCAAAGATGGATCAATGAAGCGCATGCCCCCCCCCCCATCCCCCCCTTCCCCCTTCTCCTTTCCATCTTTTAATTCTTTCATTTTTGTCAGGTTGACCCCATTCTGCAAGGACAGCGACTTCTGATTCATTATGGCAGCACGGAAAAGATTTAAAAGTATTCCTATTCAAGACGGCAACACCCAGTACCTTCCAAGCTCCTCATTTCAAAACACAATTCTCAGTCCCAAAGACCTGGTTTCACTTGCCTGGTCAGAATGTGGGCTGCAGTGGTTTTCCCTATGCCTGGCGATCCACTCAACAGCACAGCCTTCTTGTTCATATCCAGTGGCTTGCCGCGTCCCGAGCCCTTCGCATTTGGAGCCTCCTGGCCTTCAAGATGCACAGCCCTCCAGTTCTGCAGCCACTGCCGCAGGTTGCTGAACAGCGTCGGGTTGGCAATCAGCTCTGAGGAGTCACGTGGGCGGTGCTTGTCCACCCAAAGAAGGTCATCCTGGGGTCCAGAAGCTGGGGCCAGGCAAGGTGTGTGTGTGTGGGTCAGACAAGGCGGGTGGGAATATGGAACAACACATGGCAGGAGACAGGCGACAACTTGGCAAAAACCATGCGTGAGATGACCACTTGTGATGGTGAGTAGCAAGCGACGTTGGCCAAGGGGCTAAAGGATAACGGCTTGTTCTCGCTGGCAAACGCAATCAATCTGGACTAACATAGTGCAGAGCGTTGCACAGCCTCACAGGCGAAAGTGCACTGATGTGGCACGATCTGACAAAACCAACAAGCAGTCGGAAGGAGCATACCGGATCGCGAAGGGCCCGCAGCCAGTATCTTTGTGGACGTGCTGCCACTAGCCACTGGAGGATGCAGGGACTTGCTTTCCTCAATTGCACACTGAGAAGCCCTGATGAGGCTGAACAGCCCATCCTCATCAATGAGTTTGGTGTGCTTGAGCTTTGCCTGTTGACCAGCCAAATACTTTTTTCAAACAGAAGGGAAGGATGACACACAATGGGCACACCACTCCTGAACCAACATGATGCCACGGTATTCTTTACACCCCATAGAAGATGGTGCAGAAGTCTCCGGGTGCAATATGAAGAGTGGATCATAGCTGGCAGTGCTGTGAACAATCAAGACAGGCAGCAGAGTTGTGACACATGGCAAAGACAAGCACAAGGAAAATCTTGTCAGCACTGAAGTGCAGCACTAAGGACCTGTCTCAGTATCCCAGTGCCTTATATTTTATGTTGCTGGATGCCACAAGCATCACTGAGAGGAAGACAGTATGCAGGGATGTATCAGGAGAAAGGAAGACATCAACAGCAAAATGCACCAACAAGAAACCATGGACTGTAAAATTCAACAAGAGAATACCAAGAAGCCATCACCCACCACCCACCCACCACCTCCCCGCCCTGAATGCCCTCACTGCACAAACATAGGAGTCAAAATATGAAAGGAGACGTCATTCCCACATACACAACTGCTCAAGTCTGCTGTGGTCTGCCAGCATTGTCACTGTGTTCAATTTGAAGTCGCCATCGCCCCCACAGCCGAAGCAATACTCAAGTTGCCTACCGCCTGAAGCTTTGAATTTCCGGTGTTGACTCCACACAGCAGGAAGGACGTCTTTCCACTGACCGACCCCGTCACCTTCCCCCCATGACGCTTTATGAGGTTCTCAGCATCCGAGCGGTACAATGAATCCAGCACACCACTGATGACAAAGGTCTTGCCCACCAGGCACTCAGGGTGCCCCTCAGGTGTAGGCTGCAAAAATCAGTAACAGTAAATACCATATTTGCTAAAATGTCCCTACTCGTCCCTGTTGGTGCATATCAACACTCCAGGATCTGTGAAGGTTCTCACAGAGTGCTGAACTTGTCTTTGTTTGGACTGTGTATTCACTTTATTGGTTCAATCTCCAGGACACTGCACTCTGTGTTGGGGTCTAACACAGCCCATCACTCTTCTGTTGGCGTGGGGGCAGCACCTGGGCAGTTCACGCGATGTAATGTAATGGAAAGAGAAAAAGTGGAATTGAACAAAAGACACCATCACATAAGTTCAGCAAATGGCAAGGTCCCTTGGCGCATCTTCTCAGTCTGGTGATATGGTGATCTAAGGGCCCTGGTACTACAGCTGCTTATCGTTCCTCTTTTGTATAATTATTTGAGTTTGCAGGAAAGGGGTACAACTCCAAACAAAACACATTGCAGTACCCCACCTGGTTTAATGCTGATCGTCACAATTGATACTGGATTGCGACAGGTAGTAAATTCAATGGACGCTGTCAGCATCATGTTTTACAAAGATAGCAAGAATATGCAGCATTTGTGCATCCGTGACAATTTGTGCACATTCTGGATGCAGCTGTCTATTTCTAAGTCTGTCATGCCACCTTAACAGCATTCGTTGTCATGGGACAAACACTTGCATCTCATGTCTGGGGTGGACACGGTTTTCGTGTACTCACATTGCTCTGTTGACCTTGTCATTCCCCAAACGCGCTCTACGGTCTATGGGACAGGGATTGATTTGTCATCCATGACAAATGTATTCAAAAGATTTACAGTGCTTACCCCCCAGGCAAACAATCCTTGAGGTGCTTGCTGTTTCATCAGAAGGGGCACATGAGGAAGAAGTCGATGTGAACATGCTCTTCTGGAGCAGTTCATCAGAAAAGTTACGGATTCAGCAAAAGCTACCCTCACAAGTAAAAACTGAAAATCTGATGTTGAAATGGAACAGCGCACATACAGGCAAGCAGTATTGCCATGAATAAGTGTGCCACACCTTGTTGCCATGGTTGGGAGGAGCAGTGCCTTCATTCCCTTGGCCCCAGCCACCCTCCTTCTGCTCCATCTTTGTAAATTTTATATCTGATTCTGGTGGCAGATCGTGTATGGCCTTTTCCACTGATTCCTGCGCCTTCTTTGCATCTGCGCTCGTCTCCCGCTTGGGCTGCGGCGTCACAGGCTTGGGTTTTGGGGCCTAGTAGCACAATGACACCAGGCAGTTCAGAGCAGCTGAATATCTGACTTCCTTACTTCAAATTCACAGACTTGACATTCACTTGTCCCCAGCAAAAACAGAAGTACATGTTCAGCCAGCATTTTGATCATCTGCCAACTCATTGAAAGCAAACACCTGTGCTGCGTTGTCCTAAGGTAAACAACATGGTGACCTCTCCCGTGTGTTCATTTCTCCTGGTGTCTAAATGCCCAGATGTCCCCAACATGAAACCTGTGACACGAAGCCTGCATGTCCCCACTCACAAGCGATCCTGGCAGCTTTCGTTCTCCCGTCCCCCTTGCCACACTATCCTGCACCCTGCTCTTCTTGGCTGAAGGCTGAGAAGCTGGGGTGGTCACACGTTGCCCTCTTGGCGGTGACTTTACAGATGGTTTTGCTGAAACCCGCCCAGAGCCAGCCCTTGGCTTTGAGACTGGATGGTCATCCGATGAGTCAGCAAGGTCGACAAGAAATTCACTGTCAGTGTCGTCTGCGTCCCCGTCGTTGCCAATCTCGAAATCGTCATCTGTTGCAGCACCTCCATCTGATGTCTCCTGCGCACAGATATTTCTGTCGATTCACTTCCCCAGATCGTTTCAAAGCAGCACTGGGTCAAACAGCACTAAATACGCTCTGCAATCTGGACCTGCGGCCCATATTTGACTTTCAGGTGCAGGGGCAGCGTTTCATCCCTGTTAACACATAAAAACTTTAAAGAACTGGAGAACTGCAGTCCGACAAGATTTCCCGCATCTCTGTGGTCTCATGTACATAGTGTTCTGTGCATAATGCTTTTGATGTTCCACAATGCATAAAAATCCCCACAATCTCTGCTTACGAGAGCGCCTTGGCACATGCATGGGTGGCCAAAACCACAGTTCGCAAGTAGCTCTTCTAGCTTGCAGTCCCAGGGATTCGTGAACTTTCTTGTTTGCTCTGCTACTGCTCTCCAACATAGAAGCACAGCAGGTGTGCACTGAACAGCAATTTGGGATGCACGCCATTCTGGTGCATCATATTGTGTTCAAAATTTGGAAGCTGCTGTCCTTGCTGGCATTAGCAAGGTCTACGTTCAACAAGCAAAACTAGTGCGCGGGTTGGGAAGTATGTTAAGCCCAGAGAACAAGTCCTGTGTTGGAGTAGCCTCCTTGCAAGATTGTGTTTCTCCTTCTTCTGAATCACATTAGTATAAACATCACAGATGACAAGTTTGAAACCGAAGCAAGGGGCTGCACGACAAGATACATCTTCTACATAACTATTTGCTGGTTCGCAACAGCACACAATGCAACAGCACAGATCTTAGCATATCGACAGTCGACAGTCAACCAATGGCAGAAAAAGCTGATGCAGTACATTTTAACAAGTGTAATGATGTTGAATCAGGGGCACAAAAAGTGCCTTGCTGGTGCAAGTCTACTGTTTTTTCAGAGGTAATCAGCCAGTTGCAGTCCTGAATGACGATGTATATGCAGTGAAGATGCCACAATACTTGGTAGAATATCAAGCGCAAGAACAGCAATCACAACGCACATCAGAATCAAAATCCAAGATGCTCGGTTTGCGCTTCCTCTTTGACAAAATCCTTGGAGCTTCTCCTTGGGTCTTCTTGGACCTTGGCGATTTTGCACTTTTGCTGCGAGCACTGGTGCCATTGCCAGAGGAGGCAGTGGATTTGCGTTGTGAACCCGAGCGTGGACTCCTGCCTGTCAGCCGGGCAGGCCTTGCACCCCTGCAGTCCATTTTGCAAGGATCTGCTCACAAACTAAACTGAAGACTGGTATACATCAAAACATCGGCGACACAAACGTGGCACAATGAACATGAAAAATCATTCATTGGATGCTGCTGTGCCTGTCATCGCCTCCCTGGTCACCAGGGGCCCGTTTCGTCAAGCATTTTCTACACTAGTAAGCAGAAGTTTTCACACAAATGGGAAAACAAAACTAAAGGAGGGCCAGCCAGGAAGGCAGTGCAACAGTCCAACACCAGCAGTTCATGGGGATCAGGGACATTTCGTGTGGCGGCATCAAACTATATGGCAGCCACATGGCAGAAGATGGGCAAATTAGCACCCTTTTGAGTTTGGCATCCCAAGTTTGTGTATATATTGGAGATGCAGTGACCTGGCACAGAAACACAGTCACGCATTACTGTAGCATTTATGCTGAGTGTTCATGCATTGAGAAAACAGAAACAGCCTCCAGCTCTGACCATGCACAACTGCATCTGCAATTAGACAAACAGCAGCTCCTTTAGAATACTCCTGGTCATTGATCACTGACAATGAGCTTCGCTCGTGGGTCCCTTGCCAAGAAGTTTGTGCAATTTCGCAGTTGATTGCATTGATCGTAAATTGACAAGGCAATGCCCTTGTACCTACAAGGCGAAGTCAAGCGCTGCTCAACATCCTCAAGTATTTCAAAAGTTGATGCATGTGCACTGTTGAGTCTTACTTGTTTCCAGAATCCTGCTCTTCATTGGCTCTGCTCCGCTTTGTTGCAGGTTCTTCCTCTCCCAACAGATTCACAACCTGCACATGGATACCAAAATGGTGCAAACTGGTCAACACAATGCAGCATACTCGCCGTACTGCCCCGTGCCACACCACAGACAATGGGCTTGCAAACGCCGTGCCCAGTCGCTGATCGCGCGCACCAGCGATTGCCGATTTGGCTGAAATGGTGTTGGACACCAAGCAAGGAAACACTCAACACAACAGTCTGTTGACAGTGAGCACACAGCACCATAACATTTCCGGTCCTGGAAACGGCCTGCCTGCAGAAGGAAAGTGGAATCTTGCGATGTTATGGTTTCAGCAACCTGACAAACCACCCTCGGGGGTGTGAAAAACTTTTCAGACTGACTGTCGCTCCAATCCACCACCTTCTCCAGTATTTGTACGGCTCGCTGTTCAGATTGATGCAAAGAGAGGTTGACATGTGTGCAGCAGCAGCACGTGCACGTCTGTCCTGACATGGACGCGTGTCTCATCTCCTTTCTCGTCCAAAACGACCCTGTTGAGGGACCTTGTCTTCAAGTAGGAGTTGGAGCAGTTCAGGTTCTGGGCACAGCCTTTGTGTTCAGGTGCAACACTTTATGGATGCTGCCTGAATAGTGCACTCCTGACGATGAGGGGGTGGACACGCTCATTGCAAGAAAATGGTGCAGAGGAAAGCTGCTCCAAGCTTTCCTACCGTACTTACCTTTGCATCAGCCTCTTCTCCGGATCTCTTCCCCTTTCCTGCCGCAAGAAAACAGCCAGCTTTGTCAGCCAGATTCCAAGCATGCAACACATGTGTGGGACTCACCAGGTCAACGCTGGACTGAATGCCATCTTAATGCTGGGTTTTGCCTCAACCGCAACTTAACCAACGAGAACACCCTCATCAAGCATACATATTACAGTCAAGTGAAGGTCGTGATCTTGGCTGGAAGGAAAACGTGTCCAACAACGTCCACCACCCTCATGACGTCCGAACAAGAGTGTGGCGCTCGGAGCGCCGAACTTGCTCACGGGCGCCAAAGCAAATCAAGGGCAGCAGCCAGATGGACTAGTCAGCACCATTGACCAATCGACCAACTTTGCCCTGATCGATCACTAAGAACACAGCGACGGTAGTGAAGGACGTCGCCTCAAGAGAAGGCAAAATTCTTCGAATCAGCACCTGTATTGGACAAGAAAACAATAGGGATGGGTAGGGGGTCGTAAGCCTTTGCTGGATGGCACACCACAGGGAAAGCGAAGGGCCATCGAATGCGAAGTCAGGCAGCGCAATCTACCTTTCTCTGGGGCTGCTTTCTCGGGGCTCTTTGTGAAGAACTTCGTGAGTTTCTGCAGCGAAGCCAACAACAATCGCATCCTGCCAAATGAGAAACGGATGCCCAGTGGCAAAGGCGCAATGGGGAAATGGCGCACAGAACCGTCGGTCCCGTCCGTTAGTCTGGGCCAACCTGCGCCTAAACGACCGTTGGCACGTCTGCGGCTCTGCGTCTGCCCCCACGGTGCCGCCATGCATCTCCCCTCCGGCCTCCAAAGGAACGAATCGCTGGCACACAAAAAAGAGCTGTATTGCGACGGTCCCCTTAAGCTCACCGCCTGCGACATTGCTTTCCTCCCGGCCTCCCTCGCGCTGGCTCCGGGGCTCAGGTGGACTTGTACATAGGCAGCTCCGGGTGGGCTATGTGTTGGCGAGGGCGGGAAGTGAGGTCGGGGTTCTGGTTGGGCAGGCGCGCTAAACCCTGCGTGGTGTTCGACGAGTATCTGGACACGCATTGTCCCCAAATGCTGTGAATTGCCCATTTCATCTAGTTAACTTTTGATGAAGTTCAAGTTTGGGACACCGTATTCCACTGTGTTCCACATGAGCATGAAATCTGCGCATGAAGTCATTCGACGGGGGTATCGATCAGCCTCGCGATCGTCCGATACAATATGCACATGCTGAACTTGGCACGGTTTTGCGTTTGGTGGAACATGTTCACTTTCCCCAACACCATGTCGAGAGTTATTGCGGTTTTGAGATGATGTCAGCTTTGAATTGGAGCGATCAATGTCTTATTGCGCGTGCGTCACACGAATGGTGGCAGTCCACAGCAGCCACAGTTGTGAGAGTAGGTGTAGAAGTGGTTTTCAAGCACACAGCCAAGTTGTTCCTCGTTACCACTTATGACAACATGGACCCGTGCCTGTCGGCCCCCCTGCTGCTCTCCTTTTTCTGCCCACGTTTCATATTATGTGAGCGTTCATAACAGGGCAATGGAATCATAACAGGGCAATGTTTCGCGTCATTTGCAAGCTCAGAGGTGCACGAGAAAAATATGGTAGAAGCGATAATGAACGTAAAAATGACATTCACAGTATCTACATCAAGTACTTCTTACTTGAAATAATAGCTCCCAGTTCTGTGTTGACTAGCGCGCTTTAAAATCACCTCTTTGGCATTGCGGCACATGTCCTTCGAATTTGGCTTGAAAGTACTGCGGCACCGTGCCTGACAATTGCGATGCTATTGACATTGCCGGCACCCAACGCAGTCCACTCACGGGGTACGCATGTTACCTAATCCAATCCAATTCCCACACCACCACATTATGCCGCAGTTAAAGGAGACTTTCTATACACAGCGCCCCTCTGTACCCTTTCTCAACAAGTGCTCGCACGAAATCACAAGAAAAATCGCCAAGAGCGGTCGCCACACACAATATGCACGTGGCACGCCCCATTAACAGCATCACTAACGGCTCCGCCTCCCTCCTCGCAGTCCCTGTACAGCTGCAAGTGAGGGATTGCCCTGCTGCAAATCTGGCAACTGCCTGAAGTAGGATGTTCAAGAGCTTCCTCACGAGCCGGTTGGCTGCGGGACGCTTCCGCTCGGCTGGGCGCGTGCTCCAGAATCGCCTGGGGGGCAAGCGATTTGTTTTCTTTCATTTTGGACAATTTGCAGAGAAGTGGGAAAGTTCAAGTGGAAACAGACATTCTGCGCATTTGTGCAGCTGTTGCAGGCACAATGTAGTGACATTGGTGGTGTGCGATGAAGCACTGGGGACGATTGAGCACGCATAGATTTCTGCATTCCACCCCGTGCCTCCCCTCGTTGCCGCCATATCGGCCGCTTTATTTAGTCGGGGGCTGGTGTTGTATCGTCGTCATGCAGTACTGGGCTGCTGATCGTTCGAGCATGCCGGCGAATGATGGCACGGAGATGATCGACTACCAATATTTCATCCTATCTGTCTGACGCGTTCAGGCCTGCCTACGACTGCGTGATGCTGTCTGATGGCTATATAGGTAAACAGAGGCAATTGGCGCTTGGGAAAATGCGGGCCTGCATTGCGGGGCATTGGACCCCTTTGAACACAGCGCTAAAGCAGTCGATGCACGCTTGCAGGGCTCAACTCGCCTGCGCACTTGCACCCGTCGGTTCCTACATCTGCCTGCTCTCATCCGAGCATCCTACCCAACAGTATTCCTGGAAGTCGTAGGAATACGATCTGCCCAAATCTGACTGCCAGCTCCCCTACAAAGCCACCCGCAAACTGCAGGATTCACATTGACGGATCCACACGACTCAACGGTGCAACGGGCAGCTGGAGAGCCTGCCTCCGGTAAGAAACCCAGTTCTGCCGCAACGCCGTCTCTCACACCGTCGCAGCCTGATCGACCACAACACATCCTCAGCGTACGACGCCCCCGGCCGGTTCACCCCAAGATGACCCTGACGTCGTACCCACATTCCCCCAGCTTATCGGTACTCAACCCGCGATTTCCGTCGAACCCTATTCCTACCACACCGCCCCCCTCCCCCCCTGCCGCTCCACTTCAGCACGGCCCCAGGCCGACCGTCCCACGGCAAGGCGCAGGTCCCGCCCAGCCGCCGCGGCCGCCAGCGGGGGGCCCTCCTTCCGGCATCCCCTTCCCGGCATCCCTCCGAAAGATTGGGCACCTCCGGGGGGCCGGAGCACCTTTGTCCGGTGCCGGCCCGGCCAGCAGGGGCGGGGATGGCGCCGGACCTGAAGTTTCGGATCCCGGCGCAGAGGTCGCCGGAGATGCGGCCGCGGCAGCCGCACAGGTTCGCGGACAACCCCATGGTGAAGGTCATAGGTGAGGCGCCGCCGGGGGGCTTGAGAATGGCGAGCCCCGCCTGGTGGAAAACGGAGGGTTGAGGGCCGTTGCGCACGGCGCGCGTCTGTCGCCAATCGCTCGCGGCAAGGGGATCGCGGGCGCCGCGGGATCGCCGCGGATGTGGCAGGGGGAGCCCGGGGAAGAACGGGGGAGGGGGCGGGCATCGGCATCGCTGGCCACTTCCCGGGCGCCCCGCCGTGGTCCCCCGCCATGCCGCGGTTCCCCCTGGACGTCCTCATAACGGCATTGGGGTGGGCTTCAGTGGGGGGTGGTCTACAGCCGCTTGGAATTCCGTGAGGCGCTCCAGCGGCTGATTGCTGCCGCCCTGCCACCGCGTTTCCCCCTCATCGTTCCCTTTCGGCGGTCTCCGCGTCATTCCAATCCACCGAACATCGCCGCCCGGTGGGCCGCTGCCAGCATGGCCCCCAGGCTGGTTCTACCCTCCCTGCTTGTCGCTGGGCCCACGCGAGTGGTAGCTGTCGACTTCCGGCGGCCAGGGCCCTTGGCGTGGAGATCGGAGACCCCATGGAGTTGGGACTCCTCGTGGAAGCCGGCTGTTGGGGTTGGGCACGGGCAGGGTGGCCCCCGGGGTGCCCGGCGCGGTCTGTGGTCGGGTCACCAAGGGTCGAAATTCGCGACTTGTGGGGATAGCAATTAAGCCCCCGGTGCGCGATGGCAATTTGGTCTCTGCCCGCGTGAGAGGGGGGGGGCTCTGCCGTTAGTGGGCGTCAGAGTCTGACTGCTTGAGGAAGTTTTCGTGGTGGGGCCGACGAAATGCGCCAGGCTAGCCGCCGCTCGCGGGGCGCGTCCCTCGGGTCAATACCTATCTCACCGCACTTGACATCATTGTCCGTTCGTTTGTTTGCTGTTTGGTAGTAGTTGTGATTCGAGGAATGTTGTGTTGTTTCGTTGTCCTATGCGTTGTTGCTTCAGCTGTATGCCGACTGGCATTGCAGTTGCCCATCCAAAGCCAGGCATAGTCTCTACAATTGGGTTGTGTGGGCTGTTCACGATGTCGTGTCCGGTTCCGTCAATCCTGCCCAGGTGTGCTGGTGCATCAGGGCCATTCTAGCTGCAACAAACAAAGCTGGTGCGCTGTCTCAAACCGCCTCCCCCACTGGTTCTTGGAACTCGCGATGTCATTTTCTAAGTGCCACTGTGCTCAACAGTTGCAGCGACTTACATGTTGAATGACATTTGCATCAAAGACATAGTGTGCGATCTGCCCCAAACAACATGACACACGACATGCCAATATCCAGTTGCCTTGAATTTGAGTGGGCCTGTGCACATACCCTGAACAGAACATGCACCTGGCAATGAAGATACTAACAACGCCACGAGTCCCTAATGCAGTGCCTTCAGTCCAGATCTGAAACCTGATGCAATATGTCCAATGGCCCCAGAAATGCTGGGGAAGAATTGCAGCTGGAGTGGTACACTCATCAGCAGTTGCGCACTGTTCAGTTTCGCTGCTGAATTGCACAGATGCAGGGCCAACTCACACACGTGGAAGTGTGTGATTTCCATGCCAAGAGTCCTTGTCAAATTTCAGACGTTCTTTGGGCAGTGTGTTGGCTTCAGCAACCCTTCAGGCCACTGGAGCTGAGGTAGTTGGCGAGCAGCTTTCCAGCTGTTTGCTTCCAGCACCAACCAAATCAATCGCCTGAACTTCTTACTTGCCCAGGCCCAGCACGTTGATCTGCTCCTGAATTGTTGTCTGTTTTCTGCCCTTGTAGAGTCGACTCTGCAGCAGCAGGGGGTGCTGGGTATGGATGGTGGGCTGGTGGCATGCTGGGAAGACTTGCTGCCTTCCACAAGCGATGCAGCGCAGAAATGCCACCGTTTGGGGGCAGACCATGGCACAAGCCCACTGAAGAGGGTGAAAACAAAGATAAAGGTTAGCAGGCCACGCCCTGAAGAGGAGGACAGGTACCCCTCGAAGTTCGCAAGGGTCACTTTTGCGAATCCAAAGAGAGGAGAGATCCACAAAGATATATCTACAGAGAAGGTGGACAAGGGGCCCCTCAGGCCATCAGGAGCTTCACCACCACTGGTGAAACCCAGCACATCGGAGGGGTTCGCTGCCTGCAATGGCAATACTCTCAGTGGCCCAAGTCCAAGCCCTTCCATGACCGATGGTACCAGTCCGAATGACAGGGAGGCCGCGCGGACGCCACCGCTGCCCAAGCTGACATTTGTCATAAAGAAGGGGAGCAAGGCGAAGAAACAGGAGCGTGATGCCTCAGCATCGAAGGACGAGTCTGATCCTTCTCCCAAGACCGTGTCATCGGAGGTGGGGCCTTCAAGGGCACCTGAGACAGCGTGTGCCTTCACCCAGGTTCAGCCAAGCGACCTTGTCCACACCCAGAGCTGTGGGATACAGGCTGGGCCCTCAGTGTGCGAGCAAGGCACGCAGGCAGCGCCCCAGGAGGCGCCTGGGGAGGCCTTGGATCGAGTGACCCTAGAGCAGCACCTGGTGCAGATGAGACAGCTACTGGCGGCGGCTGGCAGGGATGTGCCAAGCCAGTCAGACAATGCATTGTGGGCAGATGGGAAGAGGTTGAAACGGCTGGCAGAGAGCCAGAGTCGAGAGGTGGAGGGAATCAACATGGACACGATGGTGTACTACCTGCATTCAGCACTAAAATTTCTGGAAGCTGCTCATGCACAGGAGAAACGAAAAGACAAGCGGTGAGTGAACTGACTGATGTTCTTGGAATTGTGCTTGGAGCAGAATATGCTGATTTCATGTGCAGGAGACTTGGTGTATCAGACTGAACAGTGCAGTGCACTGGCGTGTCCGATCCCTTCACTGTTGCAAGCCAGGTGATGAGAGGCTTCCAGTTTGAGCACCCAACATGGTTTAATAGATGAATGGGCAGTTGTGTGTCTTGTTGTACACTATAGTCGATGAGGAATTCTGTTATGGGCCAAGCTTTTGGTGCAGGTGAATAGTGGCTCAGTTTCCAGCGCGCAGAATTTTTGTCGAGTGCCATGCCCAGTACAGCAGCATGGAGAGTCTTTGTTGCGTTTCAGTGGTTCGAGAAGGGCCACTTGACAGCATCTGCATTGGTCACATTTGTACCAAAGACATAGCACCACCCAAGCACGTGCTTGTTGCTAATTGGGCTTTTGTTAGCCACAGCACGCTTGAGTGCATTGTTTCTTCCCAGGTTGTGAATGGGCAAGCAATGCAGCCCTACGGTTTTCACAATCAGCAGGTGACATCAATGGAAAGACAGTGGACCGATTTCTTGTGTTGTGCCCTGAGTACTGTTGATATCCAATGCCTGCCTGCAGGGGGGACATGTACAAGGGCACAGGAAACCTGCTGATGCATGCTGCTGGACACATGAGGAAGCACACTAGGTTGAAGCCCTTTGTCAAGAAGTGTGTACAGGTGCTGGCGGAGCGGCTAGCAGCTGTCGCATACGTTCGACACAACTTTGTTGAGCGGCGGGGTCAAACACCAACTGGGAATGGGACAGGTACTGTGCCATTGGATGGTTGGTCAAGGGCATTGATGCATGTGCAGTGCCATACGAAATTGACCTGCGTGTACTTCAGCCTCTTTGATTATGCTGTGTCGATGGGACGAAACAGTGGCCGTGCATGTTGCTGGCGACGTCTGTGCAGCCATGTGGACTTTGTATTTGCAGTCTTATGGCACATAGCTCTTAGCCACACCTGCCTGCATTGCTGGCAGTCAAGAAATACAAGCGACATGAAAAGGCAAGTCGCATCATCAAATCATGAAGTTTGCTGATGCAGTGCAGGTGGGGATATGCATGCCAGATGGGGGTGATGGTGTGTGCCTGGGTGACCGATGTTGTTCTTGGATGATCGTGATATTCCTTGAAGAAAAGAAGATAACCTGTCAGACAGTGGCAAACCCTTTTGCAAACAACTTTCTGGGTATGGCTGTGGAGACTGTGAAGGTGTGCTGGAATTCTCTGGCTACAGCCAGAGAAGCGTAGAGTCTTGGACTGAGATAACACACAATGCTCTGCACCACAAATACAGCTGCAGCACAGTGCTCTATGTAAATGAATTCCAGTTGGAAAATACATTGTTGCATAATGCAACGAAACCTGCAGAGAGAGGCAAGAAGAATGAGATGCGCATCAATGCATGATCGTGACATCTGCTTTATTACCACGTGCATTGTCGAGGGTGGAAGCTTATGCTTGTGCGAACTTGCCTCCTGGAGGCTGGATTTGAGATTTTTGGGAGAGAAATTGAGACTTTGTCTTTTGTAAGACTAGCAGGTTTTCAATTGCGGCACAAGAGTATTTGCCAGTTTTCAATATGTCAGTTGTCGACTTGAATGGTGCCCAAGATATGAAGTTTTGACAGCACCAATCTCGTCCCACCCAGGTGGCTTGTCCCCCCTCACCTCCCCCGTGGAGAATGGCAGCAGCACGAGCAGCACGGAGACCCTCATCAAGGGTCTTGAATTGATCCAGTCGACTGCACAGGACCTCACAGAACTTCGCAGTGCTGCCAAGAAGTCCCGCGGCGCCGCACTTGGCGCTGTGGAGTTGATTTCCATGCTGGGCAGTAGTGCTGGGCTGGGAGACCTGCGAGAGACCCTCACACTGGCGCAGCATGCCATTCAGAGCCTCATCAAGTTCGATGAGCACGAGGGGTGACTGTGGTTGCGCCCTATGCAGGGGTGGAACAAATGATGCCGGGGTGGTTGGGTAGTTGGCTGGTTGGCTTGTTGTGTACATAGGTGCAGTTTTTTGTTATCTGTATTTGTAGTTCAGAGCTATTTTAATTCACTCTGGCTGATGGAGCATGCGCCGAGAATCCCACCATGGCCCCAGGAGGTGAATGTCAACCTTCACAATACGTGTTGGGTCCACAACCTCTCAGGCAGACGTGCAGATGTCCTTCTGCCAGACACTGGCAAGAGTTTGCCAATTACACAGTTTCTTTCCAAGTGGAAAACAGTGTTGCAGTGCTGGAAATCGTGTGTTTGCAACATGGACCGTGGTCAAACAGGTCCAAGTCGTGTTGTCCTAACCCTAACCTTCAAACTGCAGTGGGCAAGTGTATCGTTGATGGACGTGGCAAGGGTGCAGGTGGGAGCAGCCGCCGCAGAGCTGGCATGACAGTGTACAAGATGTGTAGCAGCAATCATGGACAGCTGGCAAATTTTGCAGCATTATGCTATCAGAAACTGTGTGTACTGAAAGCTAAAAACGCCATGAAAGGTGATTTCAGCGGATGTGTCTGGTGACTGGGAGGGCATCTTGACATGGATGCGCAGTTACAACGCCTGAATAGTATGAGCTAGATGTTCAGCCTGATCGATCTGCAGGCGTTCATCCTGATGAACATGCGATGGTGGCTGCATGCAGGAAATGTCTTGGTGCACAGAGCCCGGGCATGCACGAAGGTATTGCAGTCTGAAAGTGCCCATCTGTTATGGATTTGTGGCTGTGTGTGTTCGCATGTTTTGCTCAATTCAAGCCTGACAATAGCCCACTACACTGCCCACAATTCTCTTCGAGACGCTGGGCAGCGGTCACCGTTTAAATGGGTGGATCAGCAGACTGATGTAAATGCTCTCTCGTAAACACACTTCGGTGGATAGCGAGAGTACGTCGCCACAGCAAGAATGGTGGGAAGCAATAAACTCCCTGAGGGAACGATGCCTTCGGTGGGGCGAGCTGAGAAGCAGGCCGGGGTCCCTCATGGTTTCTTCGTTGCAACCCTCCTGCTTCAGGGCCGTACAAATGCCATTGGATTGGCCTCACTCTGCGAGCATTTCAATCTCAACGAACCAAACGTGGAAACACAAGCGCGAGTTCAAATGCGCCAGTTTCAAAATGTGCTGTTCGTTCCGTTCGGTCCCAAAGCATGGACCCCGCTTCAAAGTGCGTATCGCCCACGCTGACGCCTGCAACGTTCCGACAGCCTTCAACACGTCCGTTCTGGACGCCCAACTCGCGGAGGTGCGCGTCCAAGCCGCAGCGTCGAAGCGGCACAAATTCCATTCCATCATCGGCCATTTCGCCTTACACGCCCCACCCTCCCAGGCAGCCCACTCAGCCCACCAACCAAGACCGCCCACCGATGCTGACGCCGCTGCCACCCCAACGATAAATCGCCTCGACCCTACCATCCCCCCGCGGGACGCAGGCACCCACTCGCGCTCGCCCTTCCCCTCCCCCCGCTGGAGCCCGAGACCAGCATGCCCGCCTCTTTCCGCATCTCCTGTGGCACCATCGCCCCAGGCCGTGGGCTTGATCGCTGCGCCGCGCACCGCGTCGGTGTGCCCGCCCGGCGGTGGGCAACCACGGCCCTCCTCCCCGCCCGATCAGCGCTCGCCGGATTCAATTGCCAATCGGCCGTCCGTCGTTTGGGATCGCGTGGGGTCCGCGGGGGTCAGGTGGGCGGCCAGGGAGCGCCATGCGGAGGGCGGGGGCGACTTGCGGCGAACAGCCGATTGCGCGGTTGCGCGCGAGGATGACACCCGGACGGATCGAGTTGAAGAATTTTGGCGCGTCAGTCGCCGGGGCCGTTGACGCTCTGCGCCCGCGGCCGGGAGGCGCTCCGCGCGTTCGGCAGGGTTGCCGTTTGTCGATTGCCTGGCTGGATGGGGAGAATGGGCGCGGCGGGTCAGAGCGCGACTGATTTGACGAAGTGACGGACGATTCAGCCGGTTGAATCTCGGCCGAGCGGGGCGTGTGCGCTGCGCTCGCCGATGCTGCGGAGATGCAATGTCGGCGCCCGCGGCGCGCGGCGGTGGGCGCTGCCCGCAGTTGGGCCGCTGCCCGCAATTGGGCCGCTGTGATCGGCGCCTCGATATGCCGCCCGTGGACTCGCCGGGACTGCCTGCGTTGGTGATTGATGGCGTCGGCTGGTGGTTGGATTACAGGTCAGGGCGCAGCTGGCCGATGCGTCGGACAATGCGTTCACGAGGACGGCGCAGAAGGTGCGTATCCGTCTCCGATGGGCATCCACAAGTGTGTGGCGCGCGCGTCCCCGATAGGCTTGGGGTGCTGCTCTCCACCGCGTTTTGCGACCCATAGGGATTACCCACTTGAGACGGGGCGACTGATTGATGGGTAGTGCGGCGAAATTGTTGTCGCGCACAGCTTGGATATTTGATTTCCATTGGCAGTCTAGGTTTGTATCTTCGTCAGCAGCCTGGGGCTTCAAAGCCGCGAGCTGTGGGCTTTGGGGGCCAAGCTAGATGCGGAATCTTCATGCACCCAGCAAACAGTGGCAGCTGCCGCAGCCTCTTTGAGCCAGTCTCGTAGGGCCTTGCCGGGAGAAATGCAAAGGTCATTTCTGGACCTGTGTGCTTCTGTTGTCGCCCCTCTTATTGCACTTTATGGCATGCGAGTAGCCGGATTGTGGCCTTGGACTGCTATTCATGGGCTGACGACCAGTTGTGAATGTTGGCGCAGGCCTTGGAGGTCAACCTCCATCCAGAATGGTATGGAACATTTGCTGAGATAGGTGCTGGCCAGGAGGTGGCGAGGTGGTTCTTCAGGGTTGGAGGAGCAGCAGGGACGGTGGGTGGTCGCAATTCAGACTCTGATCTAACTTCACTAGCCCAAGGAGTGAAGCCGAGGCATCATTGGCACACTTCTGGCTTTGCAGAGCTGAACAGTTCCCCTGCATTTTCGATTATTGGCATTTCTGCGTCCAAAGCGTTTGGCTGTTTCACATCTGTTTAAACAACCTGAAACAGTGTGTAATCTGTATGTCGAGTTTCCGCTGTTGTCCTTGGGGCTGTTTGCCCAAAATCACAAGTGAAGAAGCCTTGGGAATAGTGCCAGAGGATCCACATGTGGATGTGGACAGCAGGCAGCATCGTTTTGCTGAGCTGTGGCAGTGATTGGCTGTTATTCGATCAGTATTGTCAATAGCAACAATTGCAGATTTGATCTGTGCGCTCGATCCCCCAGCACCTCACGTTGACAGCTCTGCGATCGATGCCTTGTGGTGGAGGTGGCCTGATGGAAAGGATCGTATGTTGCCTCCTACTGAAATGTCAGACTGATCAGCACTTTGAATTGGTTAGATCCCAAACAAGCACTCCATTTCAAATTGCTGAAATATTTTATTTCACCTGGACTTGTGGCCCTTGCATCAGCAAGGCCTCAGAAGCTGCAAGAGAGCAGAATTGTGATACTCCTGCATCCACAAGTGTGAGTTGGAGTGCTGCCTTGTGCAGATTGCCAAGTCTGTGTCTGCCTACGACATGACGGTCTCTGACAGTATGTATGGGGCTTGTGAAAGGTGAGAGCCCCTTTTGGTTCTTGGCCACTGCTTTGATTCCTTTGGTCTCCGTGTCACAATGCCTGTTACGCTGTCAAGCACACCTCCCATGAGATTGTAAGAAGGCAAGTCATGAGCATGCATGAAGAGTGACACCTGCCGGAGAGAGATGCCCTGTAGGAGGCATCCTCCAGAAGCAATGCATGCTGGCACACAGAAGGCAATGACGTGGACAATGCCTGCTGCAGTGCTTAAGACTACTTGCTGCCAGACAGGTATGTGACAAAGGAGAGGCTGGAGGCCATGCTGGACTATGAGTACCTGCAGTGCAGCCTGACGCTCAAGAAAGACAAGGGCCACGAGACGCAGTTCTTTGCGTTTGCTGACACCGTCGTTGCAAAGGCATACAAGCGTGATAATGAGTGCCATGGCTGGCTCGGCATCAAATTCCAGATGAAGCCAATGTAAGACCAGTGCCCCCATGTGTTTGCCGACATTTGCATGAATGCATAACCATGCAATTCACACGAATGCTACCCTGGTGTGCATGAAGTTTCATTATCAGTGGATTGGCATTGTGAGTTTTGGCAAGAGGGGAGTCCAGCTAAATGCAACCTGAAAGAGCAACAGCAGCACGCCCAGTTGGTTCCTGTGTTAGGCTGCAAGTTGCTGCATATACGCAAGTCCCAATAGTAGTGGCACATGTGCTTCTCCTGGGATTGTGCAAGGCATGCATCGTTGCTTCTCTTTGCTGCCAATTCTCTAAAAGTCGCCTGGGTAGTATGTCTGAGCAGGGTCGCATCGCCATGGCACGAATTTCCAGAACAGCATTGACTTTGTGGCCCGTCCACCCCTCTTTTGTACATCAAGTGCTTGTCTGTGTCTTTTGTCCATTTCTCACATCATTTCCTTATGTGTTTTGTTGCTTATGTGGCAGCACCTCAATGCATCTTGCATTATTTTGCCAGCGGAAATCCCAGACCCATTATGAAGGTTATTGACATATGGTTTGGCAAGGAATGCAGGTACAACACAAGGGTTCATGACTTTCTACTTGTCTGTGCAAAGCTGTACAGGAGCAAAATAGTAACAGGCTAGAATGTGGTGGTGCCTGCTTGCTATTGAAGATTGCCAGCAGCTTTCAACCCAAGAATCCTCTCAAAAATGTCAACAAAGCCTGCCAACCTCCAGCAGTGCTGAAGTGTGGTGTTATGGTGAATCGAATCAAGTGAGAATTGATTGTTGCGGTCTTCACAGGGAGGAGCCTTGCAGAATAGTGATCCACTGCCGAATGTTGGAAGACAATGCTACTGCACAGCAAGTGTCGCTGGGTGTTCTGGGCGTAAACCTCATCCACTCTGCATTCATTGAGCAGGATCCATTCAAGATCGTAAATGTGAGTGCCTTGCATCGGCTTGTCTGGACATGCTGGTCTGAGGGTCTGTAGTATGAAGTACCAACGTAGGGTGGGGTGGGGCGCAGCTGAGAATCGACTCACTGCTGCTGAGTAGGGCAAACCGCTGGTGGCCACTGTGTTTGATGTATGCGGCATTCTATCTGGCTGCAGTGTTGAAAATTGAACATTGAAGTGCCTAGGGTCAATTTGTTCCAGCCAAATTATTGGCTGCTTCCAGTAGTTGTAGGAATGTCGTGTTGTGTGCAACTCCATCGTGTTGAGAATCCCAATGCCAAGATGCAGGAGGGGAGACACGACATGGAAAATATCCACTTACAGTATATTGGTACCAGTGTACGGCATTGTTGGTAGGATGGTGGCGGCTTGGCAGAATATTATATTGCTTGCCAAACTGAGGTGTGGGGAGTTGAGGGGTGCATTGTGTCTGCTGTGCTTCTTGCTTTCCCTGCTGCCCTTTGGGACCTCTGTCACCTTTGAATACGTGTGTCCCAAAAGCGTGCTACAGTTTTGCCACTTTTTGTTTTTGAAATAATAGCTTTGGTAATATGTTCTTTTACAGGCTTTATCTGATGAACTGGGCCCTGAAAAGATTGAAATTGATGTCGTCGACTTCAGTGGGCCACGCTTTGAGGATGTCGATGACCGGCTGGTTGCCCTTCGGCTGGTGCAGAATGGGCAGACAGATGCTGCCATCTTCGCTGGATCTGGCAAACCCATGATTCCTCAAGAGGCCCTCAGGAAAATGAACGTCCTTCTGTTGCGAGGCAGATTCAAGTAAGAGTTGCTCATAAATATGACTCTGTATCTATGCCAGCGATTCACTTGCACAGACTTGATGGGGCCAGACCACGTTAGTTTGTGGACCAAGCAGAACAGCATTTGAGCCACATGAATTTTTAATGAGAGCGCATGGAGTCTCAACACCAAATTTGATCACCCCCCTCATGCATTACTGAATCGGGCAAGCGTTCACACAACCTGAAGTGTGACTGTGATTTGCGACAGAGCATCACTCCAATGCGTGCTATACATGCCATTAAAGTGCTGCATCGATAGCAGATGTGTGTTGATAGCTGAAGATTGTGTTCTCAGCAACAGAAACGTGTCAGTTAATGTGTCATCCATTCCTGAACGACAACTCCGCAATATTCTTTTTCACACAGGAGAAGGTGAAGCATGAGACTAGTGAAAGGCTGCTGCCTGCTGACGCTGCTGGTCCACTTTGATGCAGGCCATTCACGCTTCTGCACAATGACATGCTAGTAGGCGCTGCCAATCAGTTCTTCTGCAACAGTTTTGATGAGGAGCTGGAGGAGTTGGGCATGGATTCCAAGGACTACTGTGTGCAGCGCGATGACACGCAGGTCTGCACAGTTGTGAGGGAGCTGCAGCCAAGCGCATGTTTCAGGGCGAAAATGGCAATCTTGGAATCGTTTGAGCGATGTTGGCAAGCCATTTGTGTTTCCTGTTGATTGTACTTGCCAACGTTTCCAGGTCATGCCAAACCACCTGTGAGGTGATGCAGGGTAATGCATTCATCTCCAGTGCGAATGGTAGCTAGCTCTTTGTATAAGCCTTGTATGCAGGTCATCCTGGAGATAACCACCAAGGACATGATGGAGAGTGGTGACCTGCTGGACTGGACTTCTGAGAACGGTGTGTTGTTGTAGCATCACGTAGCAAGAATTAGAATTGACTAGATTGGGCAAATGGGGAATTGGGCTTGTGGTTGCTTGTGATGATGACTGGGTCCAGTATAGTATGCAACAAGTAATGGGCAGCCCTGCAGTTCTTGGTTTGTTGCTGTTGTTCATCAGATTGCAGGTGAAGTAACGGCACTGTAATGCTGCTGTGCCGCCGTCCTGTGCCCGGGCAACCCCAGAATGTCAGAATCATTCAGTCCCATTACCCTCCCCTCAATGTGCCTGGTACTGTCCTCCTAAACCCATGGTGTAGTGAAATTCCATTTTGTGTTAAGGTAAGTCCACAGGAAAAGGAGTCTGTGAAGGAATGTTAAAGATTGCTCATGCTCGCCCTAGCCATGTACAGCGGGGTTGTGCTGGTCTCCCTTTTGGCAAGCAAGTGTATTGAATCTACATACACTGTCCTGGTCAGACATGCCGAATTTCACCACAAGTTGACTGGACGATGGCACTCAGGCGCTGTCTGAGCGTCGTTGCTCAGTGATGACGTGTGACATGACCATCAAGTATTGCCACGGTTTTGGCAATTGTACATTCATCTGTTGCACTGACTGCTCGTGTGCGCCTGTCCTGCTGGCAGGCATGGACGAGTCTGCCTTCCTGCAGCGCATGGAGGCCCTCAACAAGCTGGGCTACATTGTCATGCTCTCCGGCTACCAGCGCTACTTCCAGCTTGCTGCCTACCTGAGGCGCTACACCAACAAGGCCATCTGCATCACAATGGGGCCTTCCGCGCTGCAAGAGCTCTTCCGGGAGAGCCACTACCGTGACCTGCCTGGCGGGATCCTGGAAAATTTTGGGCGATTGTTGAGGTACGACCTCAAGCTGTACATGTACCCAACCGTCGACACTGCCGCGGGGAAGCTCATCACAGCCAACAACCTCAAGGTGAGCTGCAGAGTACAGGTTTGCCATGTGTTTGAAGCATCGGCTGTTGATGCTGCGTGCAGTGTTATTGTTGATTTTGTTCACCAAAGTGCATCAGGAGCTGGGACTGTCAGGCCACTAGCCCTTGCAAAGTCAACCGGTGTCATGCCCAAGCATCAGTGCCCACACCAACACCAGCGTCTCCCTAAAGGAGAATCGGGACAGGGAAAGCATGCACAAGAAGCCTCTGTGCATGAGGTAGCCATCCTGGACCAGATTGAAAGTTTTCGTGTGTTTTGTTGTTGATCAACGGCCGAGGCAACTTGTAGGGGACATGTATGCTGTTTCATGTCAGGGACGAGAAACATGACTTCTGTTGGTGTGCCTTGTTGTGCAACACAGCTGCCATGACTGGCTGATTGGTTGGCTGGCTGCCACTAACATGAAATTGCCGGTTCAGAATCCCTGTTAGCTTGCTGAAAGTGCTGTATCAGATATGCTGCACATGTTGAATTTTCCAATGTTGATGGTGTTGTTTTGGGCCTTTTTCTCCCAGCATGACAGACCGGTTTGTTGACTGGCATATTGTCTGAATCTGAAGGTGGAATCTGAAGTCCAGCTGCTGTATGACTACATCCTCAAACGAGGCACCATCGTGCCTATCACGATGTACGACGAGTCGCTGCTGTCCCACGGGGACGTGTCAAAAAGGGTGGTGGAGAGCATACGGGCTGGAACCTCTGATTGGGAGAACCTGGTCCCCACATCCGTGGCAGAGCAGATAAGAGACCAGAGGCTGTGGGGCTACCGGCCACCAGCCGAGCTCAAGGCCCCCGTGCTGTTCAAGAGCGGTGAGAAGGGGCCAACCAATGGGTCACAACCGGCCGAGACTAAGGCAGTGGCATGACTGCATGGACAGCATTTGCCTTCACAGAGTAGACCAGTCCCCTTGCTCCTGAACTGGATTAAAGATACTGTGAGATTGATTGTGGAGATGATGCAGAAGATCAGGACATGATCACGCGAGGGCGGATTGGGGGGACAGTTTTGTGTTGCACAGTGGTCAAGGGCTTGCCCTGCCTGTTTGGTGCAGAATACAACGCAGTAGACTAGATCTAGGATGTGGGAGGATGTGGAAGACGGCATTCTTTGGCGGATCAGTGCTGTTTGCCGGCAGCGTGGACCCAATGCGGCGAGCTGGGGAGCAGCATTGCTGTTTGCATTGTCTCGAGAAGGAACGTTGTGGGGGTTTCCTGAGAAGAATATCTGATTCATTGATTTTGTATTGATCTATCAGTTTTGACGTCCCGCCAGGGAGGGATCACAGTGCTCTTAGCGATTTATTAAGGAGTTTGGCATTAGGTTCGGCACTCGCACTGCCCTCTTGCTGAATAGACTTGACTATTGGTCAAGCCCCAACGCCCATAATTCAATTTCGATTGTGGACCATTTGCACTCGTTTTCGGTTGGTGCACCCATAGCAGCGATACAGCGTCTGTGTTTCCAGGTTAGTTTGGCGTAAAACGCCCTTTGTAGATGCAGACAAAGACATAGTTTGCTCTTTATTTGCTGAAACCCAAATTGAGCTGTTCTGGGAAGGGTGGGGCGCGACCCAATAGGGCTGGATGCGATGCGGCTGCGACTGTAGACATGCCACAATGCAGCAAACAGCAAGGCATCGCTTCAAGCGCTGTGGGGTCCTTGTATCGTTGTGCCTTCGCGTGTTCATCTGGCTGGCTGTTTGCTCAGCTGCTGCTGAACTCGATCTCCCGATAGGATAGCAAGCGTGTCTGGTAGTCTCTGCGAGCCACAGTTTGGAAAGGCCAGGGTCCCAGAGCCGCCATTTCGTTCGGCTAATTCCTCCAGGAGAATTGCATCCGTCGTTGGGGCACCAGGTGGTCTCGAATCTGGTTCCCGTGATAGCAAGAGCGAAAAAGGGAACGAAAGGGCGCCAATTAGTCACATTATACTGCGAGCTGGTTCAGCGAAAGTTTCACGATCGTCGAGTTCTGCACGATGCGTGGGCTCAAAATGCCCGCTTGACTGCGGCATGCAGATCGACAATGTGCAGCAACGACAAGTCGGGGACGTCACCCAGGCACGGCTGATTCCGTGCTCAACACGTTCGCTGCTGCTCGGGGCAATCAAAGGCGCTGTAGCTATGCCTTGCGTCCTTGATCAGGCAGAGTTAGTCCCTTCTTGTTGCGCTGCTGAACGATACAGGCACGCACTGTGCAACTTTGGTGCTCTTTGACAGTCCCCCCCGATGATTCAGCATCCGCACCCTGACTGGGGAGCCCGGCTGCTATCTCCTGCCGAAGATGCAAGAGAAAGTTAGCACACCTCGGCGCGTTCGTGTTGGCAGTAGTCTGCAGCCTCAATAGTGTGCTTGTCACAAACAGGCACCATGTGCATCCGGAATGCAAGAAATTCGTGAACGACCGCTGTATAGATTCCCCATCGCATGTTTTGACGCAGTGCCAGCCCATTTGATCCATTCACACAACCGTGCGCGTGGCTTAGCACCCCCGCACGCCGGTGTATCGCTCCCATTGGCTTCTAATCGGCATCCCGCTGTCTTGTTCTGTGCCTGCCCGTGGCCTGCTACCCAGTACAGAGAATGCCCGCGCACCACCTTCCCCACATGTCTGGGAAATCGCCTCTGCCCACCCCCACGGGCGCCAGGATGCCCGAAAAGAGACTATTGCTACATGCATCGCGACGCTCTCACTCGTGTGACCCTCAATCCATTCCGTTTGCCTTCCGACCGTGTCGATTTCCCCCACCCTCCAATTCGCCTCTCGGTCTCCTTCTTCGGCCCGGGCAACCGATCGCTTCGCGCCTTTGCGCCAACAGAGACCCTCTCGTTGGCCGCCGCGCTCCGGGCCTCTCACTCTGTCCACACGCGGCCCCCCGGGTCCACGGGGCTTAAGTTCCGCTGGCCAGTGTCCAATGCTCCTGGGGGCGCCACGGCCACGTGCACGGCCTACGCGACTCTCCAAATCGCTTCCGCCACACATGCTCCTTGTGCGGCTGGCGGCTTGAATGGCAACGGATGCGCCAAAACGACGTTGTGAACTACAAATCAGCGCTCATTAGAGCCTGCTTAGAACCCCAGTTCGGCAAGCTGTTGCAACACGACTTTCGAATTGGATGGTAAAGTGCAATGTGATCACACGATCAAATCATCTCCAGCACTTCTATGAGGGCGGCTTGGATCATGGAGCAGCACAGCTGTCGATTCTGGGCGCTGGTGATGCACTCCGTGTGGCGGCACTCCATGGGCATGTAGGATATGGGCCCCTTGCAGCCCTCGCGAATGGCCTCCAGGAAGGCCGCCCCAAGCCGGTCCTCGGGCAGCAGGGCCGCCACGGGGCCGCCGAAGGTGTAGGCGGGATCATATTTACCCATTAGGGTCTTCATCAGGCTGGTCCTCTGTAGACATCCATAAACCATTGCGTCCCACCTGTCGTGGTGCAGGAAATAAGAACAGAGGATAGAGTGCCATTGCCCGAGTTGTTCATAATGTTGCTAATGCAGCAGCATTGATTGATTATCGCGTTTGTGTTTTTCTTCAACATGGCATCACTTTGAACTTCTAGAAAGCGATTGCGGATTGTAGAAGTGGCTGCAGACTGTTAAAAGCTGACTGTGGCACCATGGGCAGTGCCCTCTGCGCGTATTTTAGCCCAGCGCTGCTGTAGCACCGAAGTTTGCTCAAAGAGTGCTCACGGGGGCATAAGGAATGGCGAGGATGCAGCCAGCCAGCCGGATCGCCAAGTCCTGTACGCCTCTGGCTGATGAACTAGGTAATTCTCAATATGTGAAATTGTGCGATCACCAATTTCAGGCTCACCTACATATTTATTCTATGGGTCAATCCTTTACTATTTTTTCAAACGAACTAACTGTAAGTAATGCATACATATGCAAACAAACAAGCAACTACTTGTTTGTTTATACATGCATAAATAATAAACAAATAAGTAAAATATAACATGTGTAAGCAAGCAAGCAATTGTTTCTTTCTTGTATGCATGCGTTATTCACAGTTGGTTGTAACTGGGGTGACGCGCCCTCCACCTGTCGTCGTCCACCCCTTGCGCAGGCTTGTACGTTCGGAGCTTCTGCAGCTGCTCCGCCGGCGTGGACGCCGCCCTCATGCGCTCCACGAAGTCGCCAATGCCCGCCTTCAGGGTGCCCATCTCCCGCAGGCTGTAGAACAGGCCGTACCACATGGGCTCGTGCAGCGGGATTGACGGCAGCGTGCACGCGCCGTCCAACAGGATGAGGCCCGCCCCGGTGCCCCGCCGCTCCAGGCGGCATCCGACGCAGAAGGCCAGCACGCAGCCCACCAGGCTGCAGCCGGCGATCAGGTACGGCCCCTGGGGCTGCATGCCCACGATGAGGTCGGCGTAGCCTGAGGCCAGGTCGTCGATGGAGGCGCACGCCTGGGCGCCGGGGCCCATGGACAGGCCGTAGCACGGGAAGGGCAGCGCTTCGGCCATGCGCTTCACAAACCCCCCGGTGTCTCCCTTCTCGTCGTGGACCACCCAGGCCGGGAGGCTGGTCAGCGGTCCGCCGGTGCGTCCGATGCCGCCCCTTTGCGACAGGATCGCGTTGGGACTTGAGAGGGCGTACTGTGATTCTGCACAGTGCTCGTTGAGCGCCGTGGCGAGGACGGTAACGTCTTGCCGGCGGGGCGGGCCGCCCGGGGAGAATGCCCTGCCCTGTTCGAGGGCCAGCGAGCGGCTTCTGGCCTCCCGTGCGGTGGACAGCCGCCTGACCGCCGAGGCGATGGCGAACTCGATCTGGCCCGCGACGCCCTTGGCCGCACCCGGCCCCCTGCCCTCCAGCCTGCAGGCGACAGCGGGCTGCAGGAACATGCCGATGGGCTTGAGGCTGGCGGCCGCCCAGCCCGCGGCGATGTCCCTCGCGGTGCATGATGAATCGGTGTGCAAGAAAAGGGGCTCGCCCCGGAACAGTGCCCCGGGTTTGTACCGGCTGGTCAGGTGCTTGAAGAAGGAGACGCGGGATATGATCCCGTTCACCGCTTCGTCCCAGGCTGCCTGCCCGTCGCCGGGGGGCTTGAACGCGGCCGACAGGTGCTCCAGCTGGCGGTCCAAGTTCTCCAGGGAGTGCATGGTCACGATGAACTCCGAGAGCTTGGGCTGCTTGGCCCCGCCCGACGCCGTCAGCGGGTACAGCGCCACCCAGGCGGACAGCGTCTCCTCCCAGCCGTACCCAGATGCGCCGCCGTCCTGCGAGGCCTCCCGGATCAGTTCATCCCACTGTCGTCTCTCCATGTGCGCGGGCGCCAACGACAGTATGTACTCCATCTGGCGCTCCGGGCCCTCGTGCGCCAGCATGAGGCCCTGCGACACGTACTCCGCGACGTCCACGTCCGGCCTCTCCCGCTCGATCAGCTTGCACAGCCTGAACCAGGGCTGCCGGGACACGACCCAGGCCTCCCGCAGCTGCGAGTCCTCGAACATGAGCGCCACCTCCACGACCTCACGCCTCGCCTGCAGCTGCGCCGCCACTTCGTACGCGATCACGCACCCCATGCCCACACCGCCGATTACGTAAGGCCCCCGCGCTCGCCTGGACCGAATGGCCGCAAGGTACAGGGCTGCCAGGTCGGGCACCGTCTGTAAACTGGCCTTGAGGGTGGCCTCTTGGAGGAGCAGCCCGTAGCACGGCCGCTCCATGTGGGAGAAGGCGCCCCGCATGCCGCCCAGCCCGCCAGCGGCGTCATGGACCACGAACAGGGGCGGGAGGGCGCTCCCGGAGGCCGATGGATTGTTGAGCCGAATGATGGCCGGGAGGGTGGAGCTGGATGCTGTCGATGCCTTCGCGAGGTCCTCCTCGTCCACCCAGGGCAGTGCGCCCTGGAGGCGGTGCCTTAGGTTGTCGTCCTTCACGCCCATGTCCTCCAGGTACCGGTCCAGGTCCTGGAGCTCCTCTTGGGTCATCTTGTACTCCTTCCGCTGGCGCCGCACCTGTCGAAGCAAGACACCGATCAAGTGAATGCATAGTTTTGCTGGAGCGTATTGCGCTCTGTGGTGCAGCATGAGCGCAGAAACTCAGGTGGCGCGATGGGTGCGGTGCCATGTCCAAGAGGTCGTTCGACCCTACTTTTCGGTGCGATGGTGGTGTCTGTTATTGCACTCGTTATTGCACACGATTGGAAAAGAGTACTAGAAATGCGGAAAGCATGAAAAGAGGGAATTGCGTGCGTTTGCACCCTGTTGTTTTTGCCATGTTTGCTGCATTTTGTCACTAAAAAATGGAGCCAAAACTGGTTGTTGACCGTATGTTGTCGTGCATCCCTTCGCCGGCACAGCCACCGCCAAATCATGCCACCTTGCGCAGGTGCGGCGTTACCTGCTCCTTCCATCCCAGAGGAATCAGCTTTCTCTTCAGAGCATTCACAATGATCGACATGTCCTTCGGCTCCTGCCGCAGCAGCGAGAAATGGTCCCCCGGAACGTCCACCACTTCCAGGTCCTGGCACAAGTCCACCCAACACACGCCGTGCGGCCTGCCATTGTGCCTTCCATCGTCAACGTAGTCGCAAGCGCCCCGCTCCGCCGCGCGGAAGTACACGACCTGAGAGTTCAGGAGCTTGCCACTGAAGCTGTGGGACCTCATATCTGATGCCGAAGATCCCTGTTTGACGGCCAGCGCCACGTGATTGATCTGATCCTTGACCTCCTCGGCCGTCATATTCTCGGCCCTCATGACTCTCCAGATTGGTGCGAAGAATTGGTATTTCTCATCGAGCGACATCTTCTTCCATTCGTCGCTCTCTCGCGGGTGGTCGATGCTCGATCCGAGGCCCAGCGCGTCCCTGCCCAGCGCTCCGAGTATCATCTCCAGGAGCTCCATGCATTCCTCCTCGCTGGCGGCGGCTGCCTCGGGGTGGGGCGCTCTGACTTGGTCCGGTCGCGGCGTGTCCATGATCTGTAGAGGCAGTGCATGAACAGCACATCGCGTTACAAGAATGCTACAAATAACTATAGCAAAGTGAGCTTACTTCTGTTTATGCGCATTATATAAACAAAAATGGGAAAGGCGAGAGATATTTCTTCTTTCATCCTCCGGATTTGAGCGCGACAGCTGCATACGCCACAAGGGGTGATGGGATGACTTCTATCAATAGAAATATCACATTTGGATCCGCTCTTGAGCCCAATGTGATGAAGGCAGCAGATGCAGTTAATATAGAACGCAAAATATCATTAGCATGACCTAGACCTATGATGATCATTCGCTTAATACCAAAATTAATGTTTCTACATGCTGTTGACGCTAAATGTTGATTCGATGATGGATGACGAATACAGCACAAATTCGACACTAAAAGTGACTTGGCTTGCGCGCCTTTGCACGGCAGTACTTCAACCAGGACTTGTTAACAATGCTGTAGATCAACGCTTAAAGACAGTGTAATGCGCCCGATCTAAATGGCCATCGCGTTGGTTGGTGGTCGTCAATCCGAAATCTGGACCCACTATGACGAGCGCGACGTCGAGTGCCCAGCTCTCCAGCACGACGGCAATCTCCATGGCCACCGCCCCTCCGTAGGAATGGCCCCCGACTAGGTAAGGTCCATCGGGTTGGATCTTCACGATATCCGCGGCGTTTGCTTTGGCCAGCTTCTCGATGTCCAAGTCGTTGTCCTTGTCCAGAACGTAAATGGGCTGGTCGCTCCATTCCAGGTAGCTGCTGAAGCTGAAATATGCGGACTGGGCGTTTGCCACTCCAGGGGCCGCGAGGAACAGGGGGCGGCTGGCGCTTGGGCCCCTGATACACAGGAAGGGGGGAGTTTGTAACTTTAGCGAAACAACAAACAAATTGCATTCTGCGAAGCAAGCATCGAGAAGCGGCGATCAAAAATTTGAGCTCATTCGTATGAGATAAGGCAATTGTGAAGCAATGTTCTCTCCTGATGATAACACTGCAGAATATCTGAAATGTAATTGCTAACTGAAATTGTCTTGATTGTGCATTCTTCTGTGTCCCGCGTTCACGTAGCCATCAAATTAATTCAACGAATTAGCCGCAACGGGCATTTACCACACTATCCATATCAATTGCAAATAACTTCAAGAAAGGCCCGAGAAAAAAAATTTTCTCTGTGAATTCACTCGTAGTCGTATACTGCCGCTGTAGGTGCACTGGAGGATATCCACTGTCGCCAGAATCAGCTACGAAGATCGGCGTTGAACCACTTGCCTCAGAGTCCTCAGCAAGTTGGACGGCTTTCCATCGCGTCTCGACTCTTCATCAGCCCGTTCTGCCGCGCCTTCATAGCCGCTTGCATCATCGTTCTTCTCGATCTGCCCATTGACGTACCCCACAATATCGTTGATGCTTTGATAATCATAGAGCAGCGTCATGGGAAGCTGAAGGCCAATGGATGACGACAGCATCTGCCGCAGCTCCATCGCAGCCCTGGAATCCACTCCTGCACCAATGAGCGCTTCTTCAGGGTGCACTGCATGGCCCACCATCGCCTTCACCTCCGCGATTACCCGCGCCTTGATGAACATCACACGCTCCTCCGGATTCATCCTCGCCAGCTCATTCTCAGGCAACAGCTCCTCTGTGTCTCCCACTTCTTGTGCTGGCTGAGGTCGCAGCCCTTCGGTCGGTGTTTCTGAACATCTGGTGGCCACTCCCGACATTTTGGCGGTTATGTTCAACTCGTCGGTAAGGCTGGCACTGAACATCCCAGAATGTTCGGCGGACTTTGACACATGTATCTGCGAGGAGTCGGTTCTTGACTCGGGTAGAGAGAGCGGACCTGCTGCTATGGCTTCCACAGTTGAGATGCTCTGTGGTACCAGGTTCTGAGCAGAGCATTTGGCCACATTACTAAGCTGAGATGCACTTTCCAGCCACGCGGGGTGTATGATGTATTCCTGGCAGCATTGCCACTTCACGGTGCCAGTGGCCGCCCCCGTGTTCACACTGAACGTGCTCATTCCTGAGCAGCTTGCCCTCAGGATCTCGGTCAATGGATTGGGCGGAAGATCCATAGATGTGCGTGGAAGTTTCGCGATTAATAGCTTTGGCGCCTTGGTTACGTTGCATGAAAGCTGCTTGGTGTCTGCGACGTAGACCGTCAAATGGCCCTTTCCAATTGCCAGAGTAGCGTCCGTGTGTGTCCTATGAGTTCTTGAGTTGGCAGGCTTGCCGCTCAGTTGGGGTGATGGCGCTAAGGTCATTTGTTGAAGGACGTACGACTGGTGTTCCCCTCTCCATTCCTGTCCAACGGTTGTGTGCAAGGCAGACATTGCAACGGCAATTGCGGTAGCAGGAGGGAGGTGCATCCGCCCTCGAAACCTGAAACTCCATAGGTACCTTAATTGAGGATCTTCAAGCCTTGTTCTGAAGTCGAGTCGGGCTAGCTTTCTGCGTTTCCCGGTATTGATAACGTGGCGTCCAACCAGAGCCTGATAGGGGGGTGCAATCCAACTTGTGGTGTGCTTCCATATACGATGCTCTCCATCACTGGTCCCTGAATCTATGGCGCCAACGGATGATATGATTCCGTGAGCATTAGTGCCTTGGGCGCCGAAAGAGCTCACAGAAAGCGTCATGCCTTTGTACTCACGGCTGGATACAAACGGCTGGGGACCGCCCCTGGGCACAGTCGCTGCACCGGTTCGTAGGATCGCGTGGATATGCGGATTGAGGTGTCTGATGTGAAGAGCGGGGGGCACCCAAGATTTCCGAATGGTTTGCATGGCCTGGAGCATGCTCATGGCGCCTGCTGCGGCCTCCTGGTGGCCTGTGAACCCCTTGGCTGTCGCCCAGAGGAACGGCTGGCTCCTCCCGCTGCTACCTTTGAGAAAGACGCTGCCGGCCGCGCCAACCTCGATCGGGTCTCCCAGACTTGTCCCGTTCGAGTGCATCTGGAGTCCATCAACATGCTGAGATGACAGGCCGGATGTGACCAAGGCCGTGCTCAGCAAGACCTGCTGCGTTGGACCGTGAGGTGCTGTCAGCGAGCTTGACCTGCCGTTTGTGTTCACCGACGTCCCTCTGATTAGCGCCAGCGGGTGGGATGGGTCCTCCTGCCCCTCTGGCGTGCCTGTGATCCACATTGCCGAGCAGGCCTCGCCTCTGACGTACCCGTCGGCACTGGAATCCATCACTTTGCTTCTCCCTTCGGGGCTCAACATGCCAGCCTTGCTGCACATCATGGTGGATTCAGGCACGACGCACAGCAGGACGCCTGCGGTGACAGCGCAACGCGTCGGCGTGTCGTTTATGGCGGAAATTGCCATGTGCGTAGAAACCAGAGAGGCGGAACAGGCGGTGTCAATGCTTGCGGAAGGTCCCTTGATGCCGAATACGTAGGCGATGCGACCGGAAGCTACTGCCATCGAGGCGGCGGTGAAAGAAAATGGGCCGACAGGGACCCCATGGCGTTGCGAGAGGCTCTCGTAGTCGCTGCTGCCGATTCCGACGAAAACCCCCGTGTTGTTCAGCACCTCTGCATCGGTTCCGTCCGGGATAGCCTCCAGCACGCTCTTCAGCAGCAGGCGTTGCTGCGGATCCATCGTCACTGATTCTGATTTCGCCACCCTGAACATTTCGCAATCAAACTCCTCAACATTGTTGAGGAATACTCCGAATTGAGCTGGAAAAGCTGAATCAGCCAACAGTTGAGAGCTTTCCACATCCCATCGACAGTAAGGTACGCGTGTGACCCAGTCTCCGCGGAGGGGGCCTCCTGGTAATACTGAGCATCCTGATGCGCCGCACACAAAAATTTTCATAGTGTCACATCTCTTGCTCAAAAGCCCACCCTGGATCGGGCTCTGTTGAGCTCCCTGATCCGAGTTTGCCTCTTTTAGGATGAACAAGGAAATAGCCGACACAGTCGGGTAGTCGAAAGCTAGAGTTGCTGCAAACTCCATTCCAAACTCTCTCTGAAGAGTTTGTTGTAGTTCCGAAGCTCCAAGAGAGTCAAGACCTGCTTCCATTAGGGGTTCGTCGTTTCCTAGGTCTTGGCCGATTATCTCATTGACGCACTGCTGAACAGTAGTACGCACGCTGTCCAGATCAAGTGACTTTCTCTTGGCCTGCACAGATACATCGTGCATCTTCGAACTTTGAACCCCGCGCTCCTTTTGGTCAGGAACAAGCCGATCAATCGACTTGCTTTCAATTCCTGTCAGTTGCCACATTGCGTCACCGCTGTCCCCCACAATGCTTGCATCACTGAGGGAAGCATAACATCCGAGGTCTCTGCCTGCGCTGCACACCCGCACGCTGGTGGAGTGGCGTCCTGTATCAATTACGCATGCCTCTAGTCTCGTGGGTATTCTGAGTTTTGCGCTGCGCATGTCATGGCACAACACTTTCATTGCGTCAAGTTGCAAGGCCCCTTCCATCAATATAGGTTGTTGTTCTTCCCAACATCCCCCATCCAAGATGCATTCTCCAGCACACCATTGATGTGCACATGGCGGGGTGGGCGGATTGATCTGCTTGGTGAGTCCTCTTGCCCCGTCTCTGAATGCGAGAGGCGACGCCCTTGTTCTCAGCGCTTCAGCACAGCTGAATGTGGCGAAAAGATGCGTTCTGTGCTTGCCCTCATGCAGGGAATAGACTCGAACTGAGCCATTCGTATTATCAAGGGCGCAGGACAAAATTTGACTCCTGGACCCGCTAAGCTCAAGAGGTGCAGGAAGGACCGCCCCAAGGAAACAGACTGAGGATCTATTCCCTCCGCTTGCGGCTGGAATCATTGTTGAAATCGCAGCCACGGCCATCTCAAATGTCCCTGAAGTAGGCACAACTAGTCGCCCTTGTACGTTGTGTTCCCTCAGATAGGACAGCCGCTGAGCTGAAATATCTGTGTGAAAGTAAGCAGTTTCCTCTCTTGTGCCTCCAAATGATTGAAGGTAAAGGCGCATGGAAGGGAAAGCCCAAGACCTTTCCTT